TATAAATCCACTTCCTTCCCACCAACTATAGATTAAATAGTATATGTTCTTTCCGGAAAAAAATCACTGTTATTCCCAAAATTGGCAATCCAAGATTCACTCGGAATGTTTTTCCTTTTATCAGGAAAATTCCATTTTATTTATCATACAAATCGTCAGCCGTACGACATCGATTATGTTAGAATAAAATATTGTTTGTCACTATAACGGTGTTTGAATACGTGACTAAATATCATGATATACATTCTTTTTATAGGTACAAATATTTAAGTAAATGCTCTGTTTATAATAAACAGTATTAAACAACATTTACCGGCCTGAATGTCCGAGAAATTTTTATAGAAAATATTCATCTTCCGACAGGAATCGAAACTGTGTCCTATACGGAACCGTCATTTAGCCTGACGTGCCTTTAACCGATTTGGCCACAGAGGAGCGTTCAGTTAGCAAGGTCGATTTTACTGTCTTTAAACTACGGTCTTCCATGATTCTCCCACGTCCATTCATATCTGCACATGGCGTATCCAAATGTAAACAAATGACGTCACACATGAAAATAATTGTCGGACTTTGTCTATTTCATAATGTGTGACGTCATTCACAGATAGCTGTACACTATGCAAAGGGGTCAGTTGCTTTTTTCTTTTCTTTTTTTTCTTTTTTTTTTTCACCTGAGGGTCTTTAATTGTGTTCTGCAATTTTTGCATTGTCAGTATCTTTTTACTGTTTTGGCAGTCGTTTACTTTTTATGACTGGGTATTTTTGTAATAGGCGTTTATTTATTTATTTATTTTTTTATTTTTGTACTTTAGTATGTTTGGTACATTTAGTTGTTGTGTGTATAGATTTCTATGTTATTTGGGTTGAAAGTTTGGCTGTGATGGATAATCTTTTCTTTTTTTTTTTCCTTTTCTTTCTCGGAGTGTGTGAATATTAATTTGTTTCGCTTTTTCAATGTTATTTTTGATTCAACATTGAGGGTATTTTCTCTTGATGAATATTTTTTCATGTCTTCTAGTCTATGGTCTCTTGTGGTTTCATTTGAGATTATTGTACATATCCGCTTGGCTAAGTTGATTGCGATGTTAGTACGAGAGTATTTCAGGTGGGAAGATATAAAAAGGAGATATTGTCGAGAGTCGAGAGTTTTAAAATATATATCTGTTTCTAGTTTAGTGTTTGTTTTTTTTTCCTAATTAATACGTCTAAAAAGGGAAATTTTTGTGGCTGTATATTATGTGTGTTTGGGCACCTCATGGCGGTGTAATGCTGAGCAAGCTTGTCTCGCTAGAACAATTACAGCTGAGTAGTGAGTTCGATCCTCACGGGTGCCCCATACTTTCGACCTTGTGCCACATCTAAGCTACGATTGGAAAATCCCTATATTATGTATGTTGTTCCTTAAACTTATTTTAATGGATACTTGCATTTGTGCAAACATTCGGTAAATATATTAATAAATAACGGAACGTCTACTCAAATACGGTTATCCTCTAAAAATAACGATTCAGTAATAAAAAAAACCCATCGGATTAATAAAAATCTGTGCCCTTTTTTAATTATAGATCTCACTTTCCACAAAACCTGTGATTAGTTCTCAAGTTACTTCCCGTCTGCAAAACCGATTCTCTGGAATAGCTGGATCTCTTTCTATAATTCTTTTATCGAGGTATGTATTTCCTTTTTAGAATAGCTAGTCTTTGTGGCTTTACACTCTCACTAGCTAAAGAGCTTCATTTGTTTATCGCCCTCAGAGAAAAGAAGTTGGATATTGCAATTGTTTTCGAGTTCTGTTTCCTGAAATATTGTGAGCGATTACGCAACCTCGTGTTTGTGAAGTTGAAGAAATTGGCTTCCATTTCGCCAGGTCTTCACTGGATTCGTATATTAAGCCCTAGATAAGAACGTCGTAGATCAAGCGCTGGCTCTAGATAATCCCGAAGGCGGTCGACAGGGTTTATCATCCTGGTCTTTTCAGCAAACTTCAGGGCTACAGTTTACAGGACGAATGTCCCTATCAAATCGTCAAATGAAGGTCGCTTTGAACGGACTCACTTCCAGATACTTTCACATGAACATACATCCCTTGTGAAAATTAATTGGGTTAGTTTCCTTTCTTTCATCATACGGTCAGTTTTAGACCCACTGGAGTGACAGGATGTAATCGATTTTTTTTTCAGATTAGGTCATTCTCAGTCTTTTCATATCTATCTATCTATCTATCTCTCTCTCTCTCTCTCTGTATATATATATATATATATATATATATATATATATATATATATATATATATATATATATATAGATATATATATATGTGTGTGTGTGTGTGTGTGTGTGTGTGTGTGTGTGTGTGTAGTAATATGAATCTTATTTCGGGGTGTATGATGAAATTTGTCTGGCCTTGAAAAATATTGCCTCATCCGTAATTGCATCAGATTTTTATCACGCCCAGACCCTATTGTCTCGATTGTCCATTAGTTGTCCTACGGCCATTGTTTGAGATGGACGTCACTCCAAGTAAGCGTACGGAAATTGTAATTTTGCATGAACACAATGGTAAGCGTTACAAGTGAGCAAATCAAAGTACTATAGACTGGCCAGGAGCCTCTGCTGATTTAAATCCATTCAAGAATCTGTAGTCAATCTCTAAGGAACAATTTCGTGGAATGGACATACGAAGTACTAACATGTGCACTGGGTCATGTTTCATTGGGAAAATACGAAAAAAAAGTAAATAATTATGGAATTATTGATTTTCTTTCAATAAATTTGCACAAGGGTATATAGATAGATAGATAGATAGATAGAGAGAGAGAGAGAGAGAGAGAGAGAGAGAGAGAGATAGAAAGATATAGATATGAACAGGCTCATATAGATAGGCATGCCAGGAAACTCTCCTGATTTAAATCCAATCGAGAATCTGTGGTCAATCCGCAAGGAAAGACTTTGTGAAATAGGCATACTACCATGTGCACTGGGTCATTGTAAAAATACGAAAAAAATTAAATAATAACGGAATTATTCGTTTTGTTTCAATTAATTTTCACAAGGTTGTATATATATATATATATATATATATATATATATATATATATATATACCAAGTCTAACCCGGATATAAGAGAGTTGTCGGGACCGGAGAAGTCTCTTATATCCGGGTTTGGTCTATTTTATATACATTAACACAGGTTCTAATTTGGGACCAGATAAATCTGTCTCATATCTGGGTTTCTCTTATATCCGAGTCTCTTATAAAGGGTTACACTGTGTCTATATATATATATATATATATATATATATATATATATATATATATATATATAATATATGGTCATATGTATATGTGTATATTATATGCATGTATGTATCTATCTGAGTCTTTTTCATATCTATCTATCTATATATATATATACATATATATATATATATATATATATATATATATTAAGAAATGGACAAGGTCTGACAAATTATTTATTAATGACATTTTTTTATGTTTAACGTTGTTTTTTTATAGATACAAGTATTTAAGTAAATGCTCTGTTTATGATAAACAGTATTAAATAACATTTACCGGCCTGAATGTCCGAGAAATTTTCATAGAAAGCAGTAAATTCGAACTTGTCTACCGAACGATTCTTTGTAGCCGAACGGTAAGGTACGTCAGCGTAAATGACGGTTCCGTATATGATGCAGGTTCGAATCCTGTCAAAGAACGAATATTTTCTATGAAAATTTCTCGGACATTCAGGTCGGTAAATGTTATTTAATACTGTTTATCATAAACAGAGCATTTACTTAAATACTTGTATCTATAAAAAACAACGTTAAACATAAAAATGTCTTTAATAAATATATATATATGTAAGTATATCTAGGCACTATATATTCTTTCAAATATATATCATTGAATAATATAGACATATCATGTATATCATGTCTGTCTATTTTTACAACGATATTTTCCAAATCTCTGATAAGTTTCTTGATATTAAGATAAAATTCATCAAGGAAGGTGTCAGGGTTTTTTTTTCCAACCCAAATACCTTTGATCCCCTCAGGAATGAATTTAATGACTAACTCATGGTAACTGATAAAATCTTCATTTCGTCGTAATTGTGATTTTAAAAAAACACCCGTAAGAACGCCCTCTTATAATTATTTTTTTTTTTAAATTCAATTTATCCGTTGTAGACATGGAATTGTTTTGAAAATAAACATTTCACGCCATATTGAATTTTTACGAATTTCCGGTCATCTCCCTTATATGGGGACGATTGTTTTCCTGATGAAAATGAAGACTGAGAATAGCGAGGATTGAGATAAAGACAAAAAATGAACGGGATTCAAGAAGACAGAAGATGGTGATTGACGTTTCATTTAAATTTTTTTAAAGATTCTAGTTATCAAGGAAGCAAGCCAACGTCAGGGAGTTCCACAGTCGGAAAGTGCAAGAAAAGAAAATGTTGGAGTAGAACTGTTGGTCGCATTTTGCTATTTCAACCGTAATGAAGGCGCTCTGTTATAATTATTTAAAAAAATGAAATTTATCTGTCGTAGACGTTGTAGAAAAAATAATCACGGAAATTTTTTCGTTTTGTTTCAATTAATTTTCACAAGGGTGTATGGATATTTTTTTTAAATTATCCGCATAATTGAAAGTTGTTCCAGAATCAATTCTGCTGATTTTCTCAGATTTTGGAGGGCAGGTTTAGGCCAGTGATTAGTTCTCAAGTAATTTGACGTCCACACAACAGATTCTCCGGAATAGCTGAATATCTATCGGATATAATACTTATACCGAGTCATGTCTTAAGAAATATATAGCGTTTTATATTTTTATTATTATCTCAGTTCTATTGAAACTTGGAGACATCTGTCGTGATTGATTAATCTGTCTCTTTTGTCAAATTTATTTCAGAGGCATTGTGGCAAAATTTCCGTCATCAATCATATATGATCAGGTCTAATACTTTGATGATCGTTTATCGATCAGG